GAAGTACAACCCAAGTTGTCGTAATTGGTTGTATCAGGCCGAAAGAATTTCTTGCTAAAACAGATGGCAATGGGCATGCCTTGTCCTTTTTGTTTTTCCTTCCAAATTGTACCCCCCCGACACAATTAAGCCTGAGTAACTAAGTGCAATCAAGTGTGCTGAGCAGAGCCCGGCTGTCGCTTAACATGCTCCACAGTTAGGTCGCTGTTCTTTCAGACTGGAAGGTGACATCTTGGGGGTGACAGAGCTGGCTTCAAAGGGAAGCCATTCAGAGAGTGACTCATGGTGCCCTTCCCTTCCCCTGACAGCAGTTTCCTCCCCTGGGATGAGTCCAGCCAAGAAGCAGCAACCATTTGGTGGATCGGGCCAGCCGCCAAACTTGGGTATCTCGTTTGAAATGGAACACAAACCAAGACGTTCTCGAAGCAAACGTTATTTTTTGTCAGTAACCTGACAGTGTCCTGCAAATGAAACAAAAGGAGTCTTTCATGAGACTGGGTAAAAGGGGGGTGTATGTTGGGGACAAGTCTAGGTGAGCGTGTTTGTACGGCAAACAATGTATCTTTCACAGCTCCAGCTCCAGTCAGCTGCTGTGGAGAGGGGGCCCACAGTGAGGGAAGCAGGAGCTTCTGCGGCTTCACGGGAGAGCGTTATGGCCAGGATATGAAATGCCCCCACAGGTTTGTATTTAACACTTGTCTCCAAGCTTGCGCGCAGTTTTGAAGGCTGCAGAACAGTGCTTTCTCACCCTGTGGGTCGCGACCCCTTTAGCAACCCTCCAGCTCCAAAAAAAAAAAGTTTACATTATGATAATAATGTAGCATAGCAGTAGCAAAAGTAACAACACAAATAATTTTATGGTTGGGGGTCACCACAGCACGAGGAAGGTTGAGAACCACCGTTGTAGAAGTGTATTAGAGGTAAGAGCTGCCGGAGAAAAGCAAGCCAATGGGGCAGGTCTTTGAAATTTCTATCTGCCCTGGCTCCAGTCAGCGCCTCAGCTTCCTGGTTCAAGAAGAAGGTCAGGGTTAGAGTCAGGGTTAGTGTTAGCCTACGCAGGCTCTGATCGCCAAGGCCTTGGCCACACCTTCCCTTCCCTCTGGAGCTGTAAATCAAATTAACCCCTCTTCCGTTCTCCACACTTCTGTCAGGTGTGTGTCCCAGCCACAGGAGAAGTGGTGAATACTGACAGGTCCTACTTTGTCCTCCATTCAGTTAGTTAGCTAGTTAGCTAGTTAGTTAGTTAGTTAGTTGTTAGTAGCTCATGTCCTACAGTTTTTCCTGCAATAGGCAGAGGTCAGCATCGGTGTTAGCAAGCAGGGTGCTTTTCCTTGAGGCTTCCTTTGTGTTTTGAAGACTAGTGAAGGCTGATCAGACTTCAAAGGGAGTTTCCCCTGGAGTTGAAGGGACTGCTTATGTCCCCGCTCCAGAACACAGAAAGTAGACATGGGGCATCCACATCTGAGGTCTTCAGTTACGAGCAGAAAGTCACGGTGGTACCCTTTCCTCCAGAGACCTGCTAGGTGCAGCACCCAGGGAAGTGAGTAGGAAAGTTAGGATTAGGAAGTGACTTTCTGGGCTGGAGAGATGGCTCAGTAGTTAAGAGCACTGACTGCTCTTCTAGAGGACCTGGGTTCAATTCCCAGCACCCACATGGCAGCTCACAAGTCCAGTACTGGGCGATTGGATACCCATGGCAAAACACCAATGCACATAAAATAAAAATAAATAAATTAGAAATTCTAATCTACTTCAACCTGACCCAAGGTGGTGAGGAGGTGTTACAATCCTACCAACAATGTATGAGACTTCCCTGTTCTCTACATCATCGGCATATACATCATCTCAAGCATTTGTCTTTTCTTGAGAGAGGAACACTCAAAATCCTCTATAGTCACTGTTTTAAAATACAATAAAAATAATGAATAATAGATGATCTACCCTGCTGTAGAATTCTGGAACCCTTTCTTCCTATTTAGCCGTAGTTTTGTGCCCATTACCTATCCCTTCTCTCCCCTCTCAATTCCTACCATTCCAAAGCTCTCTCTGTTTAGATCAGTTTATTTGCCTGCCATATGAGTGAGGACACACAGTATCTGTTTCTCTGCAGTCGCCCTATGTAACATAACATGTTCTCTGACTCAGCCACATTGCTGAAAATGACAGGATTCCATCTTCTTACATGGGTGAAAATCTTCCATTCTGTTTATGAACGCATACTCTTCATTCATCTGTCATTGGTGACCTAGGTTAACCCCATATCTTAGCTTTGTGAACAGTGCTACAAAGAGGTGTGCAGATGTTTTTCAATATATTTTCATTTCTTAAAATACATGCCACCTAGCAGTGGTACTTACTGCTGAGTCATTTTGTGTTTTTTCTTTTTCTTTTTTGAGAAACCTTCACTCTATTTTACAGAATGGGTGTGCTGACTTACATTCCTACCAACAGCGTATGAGAATTGCCCTTTTCTTTTTCTCTCCTTTTTCTTTTGATTTATTTGACTCCTATGAGTGCTTTGCCTGCATGCATGTCTGTGCATCAGATGCATGCTTGGTGCCTGAGGAAGTGGTCAGCCTCCATGTGGGTGCTGGGAATCAAACCTGGTGCTTGGAGAGAACAAGTGCTCCTAACCACTGAGCCAGTTCTCTAGCCCAGGACAGTTCCCTTTTTCTGTTTCCTCATTAGTATGTCATTTTTTTTGGCCTTAAAAAACCCATTTTCATCATATATATTCATTACACATGGTGTTTTGTTACATAAATACATGTACAACTGCACATTGCACATTGAGCACATCCCTGCCACACCGTCCTCCTCCTCTTAGTCCCTAAGACAGTTTCACTTCCCCTTTCTTGTCATAAATACATACATATTTTTATATCTATAGAAAATATGAAAATTACAAGTGAGAGAAAACATGATATCTGTCTTTCTGCAATCGTCTTAATTTGCTTAATATGATTTTCTGCAGTTGCATCCATTTTCCCACAAATAATGTCGTGTGTGTGTGTGTGTGTGTGTGTGTGTGTGTGTGTTTGCATATATGTGATCTTGTTTATCCAGTTCTCTGTTGTTGGAGACTTAGTGTGGCTCCACAATTTAGCTATTGTGCACGCTGCTACAGAAAACACTTAGGTGTGAGGATGTCTGTTATGTATTGATTTGGAGTCCTTTGGGTAAGTGTCCAGGAGTTTTATAGCTGGCCCATATGGTAGAACTGTTTCAGCCTTTTGAGGAACCTCTGTACTGATTTCTATTGTAGCTGAAGTCTCTTGAAGTATCATGTTCCCACCAGTGATACAGAAGAGTTCCTTCTTGCCTATATTCTAATCAGTTTTGTATTGTTTTGTCTTCTTTGTCTTTTACTGCTATTTTTTGAAGCTTTTTTTAAAATTTAAAAATGGATTTTTTTTGTACAGTATTTTCTGATTTTGGTTTTCCCTCCCCCAGCTCCTCCAAACCCCTCCCCCAGCCCCTCCCCCAACCCCTCCCAGCTCCACCCCACTTTCCAATCCACCCAAATTCACACCCTTTCCTTTCTCTCTCTCATTAGAATACAGGCATCTAAAAATATAATAAAATTTAAAAAAAACAGAAGAAAAAGAGCCAAAAATGCACAAGAAATACACACAGATACTGAGACATGCATATTTGCACACACAGAAAACCCATAAAAACAAAACTGGACTCACCATAATATAAAAACAAATTATCTGTAAGATTAAAAAAAATTGCCTGAAAAAGCACTGAAGACAAAAACCAAAACAAAACACCTCCATTTAGTTCATTTTGTGTTGGCCATCTACAGCTGGGCATGGGGTCTACCCTTAAGTGCATTCAGTGAGACTCTATTGGGAAAAAAATAAGTTTTCGTTTGCAAGAGGTTATCAACCGGAAATAGCCTCTGAGCTGGGGATGGGGGCTCTGTCTACTTCTCCTCTCTGGGACCCCGGGAGCTGGTTTAGCCTGTGCTGGCCCTGCACGTGCTGGCCCAGTCTCTGTGAGTTCATATGTGTCTAGAAGGTTTTGTTTCCTTGGTGTCTTCCATCCCCATTGGCTATTACAAGCTCTCCACCTCCTCCTCTGCAGAGTTCCCTGAACCCCAGGAGAGGAATGTGATGGAGACACCCTGTTTAGGACTGCTTAAAGGTGTCTCACTCTCGGCACATTGAATCTCTATTTGTTCTCCTCGATTGCAGGAGGAGGCTTCTCTGATGATGGCTGAGCAAGGCACTGATCTATGGGTATAGCAGAATTTTGTTAGAAGTCATTTATCCCTGTGTTCTTTTATCAGAATAGCAGTTTTTGGTTTTCTCCATCATTCTGTCATCAGAGGCTGTGGAAGAAGATCATTCAGGGACTTAATGTTCTCCTGAGGGTTTCCCCTGTGTTTGTTCCAGATCAGGGCATTAGGTGGTTTTCCCTGAGCTCTGGCTCTTACACACCTGAGTAAAATTGGCCTCATCTGAGCTGGACTCAATACAGATCTCTTAAAGGGGAAAGGAATCCCACTTTGTAAAGATATTGAGATGTTAAAGGATTTATCTTCAACGTTCCAGAGAATGAAATTGTAGGGAGTGAGTGAAGTCCTGAGTGAATGAATGTTTATCATTGGACATGAGCCAGCCATGTCAAGAACCAAGACCTCAGATCCATGGGTGGCAAAGCCTTCTGCAGATGGGTCTGGCTCAGAATTGGCAAAACCTTTGTCTGGTCTGAGTGTGAATGTTGGCTGTGTGTGCAAAAACCAGCAATGGCCACTTCCCCTTCCTAGATGATTACAGCCTGAGCCTGTGCACCCACAAAGACCTACCACCGAGACTGACTCCCACCCCGACCCCTGCCTGTGCTGTTCGTAATCAATGTGCAAAGGTTCCAGGTTGTACAGTAGTTGGTGCCACCCCATCAGAGGGCACATAGCCCACCTGACCCAGCTTTTCTGTACACATGTCTGTGTGTCTGTCCTTTCTTCATTCCCTCACCACCCCAGTCAGGCTTCCAGACTCAAACCAAAAGGGATTAGGTATGACATAATACCCTTCAGAAGTTAAACTCCATTTAAAAAAAGTGTAAAGTTTTTATGGAATATTACTTTATATTCACAATGCTAAAGAGTAGCTTGAACATGGTCCTGAATTAATCTTACAGTCCACATATTTCAATGTAACACCCCTTGGCTCTTCAGTAGATTTCTGGTTTTGGTCTGATTCCATCAGGCAAATGTTGATGCCTTTCTTTTTTTTTTTTTCAGGCAGTCTTTTTACACTTTCCCTGTTGAAGTGCCAGCAGGTAAGAATTTGCTGGTATAAAGTTTGTCGTCCCCCCCCCCCCCATCTACTGACAGCTTTCCTGCATCTTCTTCTTTCTTTCTTCCTTCCGTAAGCTCACGTTTCCCTCCTTTGAAGCCCCATACAAAACATGCTGTTGAGTTTAAGGATGAGGGTTATTTTGATTAAAGGGTTTAATACTCACAAACGGGAACGAAGACATTGATGAGGCAATTCACCCCATTGGAAGCTCAAGGATACAGTAGGTGAATGGGCTCCCTAGATACATCCCCATTCGGTCTTGATAGCCCTCTTGTGGTGGTCCTCCCCAGTCTGCTTCATTACCCATCTACCCTAGCTGCCCTGCATGTGGCCTTGCAGAATGGGGCTCTAGTGCAGGGGTGCCATTCCAGGCTCCTTGGCTCCTCTCCACGCTTTGGCTCCTTCTCCACAGCCCTACTCTCCCTGACCTCCCTCAGCCTTGCTGAGCGCCTGCGCAGAGCAGCGTCTTGCCGGTCTTGTCTGTGGGTGCCTATCTTTCTTAGCGTCTTCGATACTGGAACATTTCCTGTTTAGATACACTCTCCAGGGAGTGCACACCTAGGGGAGATGGAGGGAAGGTAATTACTTGACTCTCACTGAAGTGCAGACAAGCCGGAGGAGGAAAGGGAGCCAAGAAAACGCTCTGCTGCTAGACTGGGCTTCCTGGGGCCTCACCTCCCAGCTCCAGCGGGTTTTTTTAGCAGTCTTCTTTGCCTCCTTTTGCAGTTAGTTACGCTGTCTTCTGTGGAGCTTGCTTCTTCACAGTCGTTATTTGTAAGTGGCTAGGAGGATGAGAAAAAGAAACAAACCAACAAAACAGATTTCTAAATCTCTCAAATGTTTCCCCCACGCCTACCAAAGGATTAACTGAAATGTGAATGGCAATCTACTCCTTTAGCAAGTCTTGAACACGGGGACTGCCTTCCATTCTAACCTTCAAACAATTCTGTGCACACTCTATGCTTTTTAATTTTAAAAGCACCACTATTGTAACTAAATTGAGATCAAGACTTGCTCATCCTCAAAAGGATGAAGCATTCTGAGACACTAGCGCCAAGCGCTCTCGTCTGGTGGCCCGAGCAGTTGTGTGCTGAGCCAAGGTTAAGTGAAGTTGGGGGAAATGGAAATGTTGACATTTCTTTAAACAATAAAAATTACAAGTGATTGCCAAAGTGCCATGAGCTGACATTTACAGAGATTGTTCACCACTTATATATATATATATGAACTATCATAAGTAATTAGCTCATGGCAATTACCTCTCCCTTGTTATTTTGCTTTTAGAATATTTTTAAAGCTTAGGTTACTAAAATTTCAATAATCCTGGGCCACACTGTCATGGGTCTTTATCCAAATGATCGTGGTCTCTTGTAAACAGACCTGTGATCTGATTTCCATTGGGACAGGAGTTGTAAAAGGCCAGGGATTTTCAATGGATTTACACATATACTGTTTCAGTTAAGTTACCAAGGTCGACTTAACAGCCCTTTTCCTCGGAGTTTAGATACATCTGCCACCCAGTGTCCCTCTATCATGTAGGAGGTCATGGGCGATGACATGAAAAGAAGCTGGAGATAGGGTGGGGGCCACAGTCTGGCCTTGGGGAATTTCCAGCGTGATCCTCTTCTGCAGACGTGCGGTCAATTAGCTAGCTCCATGGCATCTGTGAGCTGACTCATCAAGACAGGTCAATATGGAGGCAAGGAGCTGCTGTATGTACGTTTCTTTTGCAAGGCTTTATCCATTGTGTGCCCCTCCCCTGTCCCAACACCACAGGAGAGAGACTGGCTTTTTTAGACCTTCTCAGCCCAGGTTGGAACCAGTTCAAACCAATTCATGACACTCCATTACAGTTACAATGAAGTTTCAGCATCCAGTTATGATGATTAGTGAGAAATGTCTGAGTGGTAAAGGTACTGACCAGCTTAGTGGTCACATATGCTTGGCAAACATTTTATTTCTAAATATTATTTCAGTCTTAGATATAATTTCTCTAACAGAGCAGAAAGCGGGAGATTCAAAATATGAACTAGAGCTATTGTTCCATCTTGAATATGTGTCAGACCTGTGGATGGACACAGGTTTATTCCAAATAGCTTGGCTATTGTAAAATTTGGAATCTGAAAGTCAGCAATAGTTCTCTGGAAATGCAAAGTGCTGTGCATCCAAATAGCTTGGCTATTGTAAAATTTGGAATCTGAAAGTCAACAATAGTTCTCTGGAAATGCAAAGTTCTGTGCATGCTTAATTGCCATATTTTGAGGAACATTCTAAATGGTATCCTTAGTATGTAGTCAAGACATGCTTTCCTAAGGACCACAGCAAGAAGTGCTGTGGGCAAATCTGCCTGTAAGTTTGCTCCACCGTTTTGCATCTATGTGAAGATTCTTGAAGTGGAGGGGAAGCAGGGGGAATTTCTCCAGCCTCTCCACCTCTTCTGTTTGCATCTCTGAGAACAAAACCTCCGTTCTTTCTAATCTTGGTTGGCAAGCGGAGCTTTGAACTCCTCGTGAGTGTGAAAAGCTGGGAGAATGGTGAAGAATTCCTCAACCCCATGGTCAAAGTTGACAGTGTGTTTTGAAACTCTGCATGAAATTCAATCCAATCCTTCTTTTCTCAGATTACAGGATCCTTGGGGTGAAATATTGCATTTTAAAGCAAAGGTACAAAGCTAATCTATCATAGCTTACCTCCAGGTGAGATTTATTCCACACTGCCTACAGAAAACACGGTGCCTGCTCCGCATGTGTAGACCATATTCCTCTTATTATCCAGTTGAGAAATCCCCGGCATATGCAACGCCTGAGAAATGAGCGGGCAGGCCCACAGAATGTGACACTTATGCTAATCTGCGCCCTGCTGTGGAAAAACACACACAAGGATTCCATTACCACATTCATTAGGCTGCAGCGCACTTTAGGCTGAATAGGGATTATGAACTAGAATAGGATGGAAACAGTTGATTGAGCCCACCTAGCCAAAATGCTCCGCCATTGGCCAAATATGTTGGCGTGGGATCATCGGCTCAGACTGTAAAGAGGACGTTCGTTAGTCGTTGAAAGTTTGTCCTTCCCTGTGGCTGTCATATTCATCAGCCCGTGACACATGTCATTGGTTTAGACAGTGAACGCTGGAAACAGCAGTGTAGCTAAGGACTGGGTCTGGAGTCGTTGTTTGAAACATGACCCCACTCACCCCTTACACCTGTTGGACAGTGCCTGGCATTCCCTATCCACACTTCTTTTCTGATTACAGTCAGAAAATGAATTGTGTGGTGATAACACTGTATAGCTAGCAAAGAAATTAGAATCAGATGCAAAAAGCCATTTCAGCCCTCAGCTTCCTCAGTCTTTCCTTGCCTTGGTCCTGGGGTCACTCTCCTCTTGCCTTGGTCCTGGGGTGACTGGACACAGTTGTCACCCATCAGCTCCATCTTCCTACAGTGGCAGAAATGTTTGTCACTCTGAGCTAAAAATATTTTAAGAATTGTCAGAAATAATAAAGAAAGAGATACAAGTGACTGCTTGGGAGATGTTATGGAGTCTGGCTGTGGAAGCAGAGGGAAGAGATTTAAATCCACCCATGTATAGCATTAAGAAGATAATAATGAAAACCGTCTGTGGAAACATGTTTTCAGCCTTAGGTTCTGGGAAACTTTCTGTCTGGGTGTTTCTTTTCCAGTTTAGGAGTCTAACACAGTCTTCTTAAGAGAGTCTGTACCCAGAGTCTTGATTTATGTCACTGATGAGTTCCTGAAAAGCTGCAGAGAAATCAAATTTTGGTTCTGCGAACTAAATTGCATACATGCTCCCAGGCTCTTCTTTTGGCCAAGGTAACTCTGTAAGGAATCTTCCTGGGTATGTGGAAAGTGATGGGTATAAATTTGTGCCTGAAATGCAAATCACCCCTTAGTTTATCACTGTTCTCATATCTTCTAAGTTTACCTTACAAGGCTTCCCAGAAGTGGAGTCAATGAAATAATGAAACAGGAAGTGGAGGAGCCCCTGGAGTGCACGCTGAGCTGAAATGACTGTGGCTTTTTACTTTTCCCCTCTTGAGAAAGTGGGACTGTCAAAAACCAGTGAGCCTCATTTTTCTATGCACACTTAAGTGATGGTATGGAAAGGCAATACTAAAGCTGTTGAGTTTTCTTTTCTCCCTTCCTTCCCTCTTTCCCCATCCACCCCATACCCCCTTTCTCTTTTCTTTCTTTCTTTCTTTCTTTCTTTCTTTCTTTCTGTCTGTCTGTCTGTCTGTCTGTCTTTCTTTCTTCTTTGTTTTGTTTTGTTTTGAGACAGTTTCTCTGTGTAGCCCTGGCCATCCTGAAACTGTGTAGGCAAGCTGTCCTTGAACTCAGAGATCCACCTGCCTCTGCCTCTGCCTCCTAAATGCTGAGATGAAAGGCCTCCACCACCACCTGGCTTCTCCCTTCCTTTCTCCTCTTGTCCACCCATCTCCAGCCATGCTTTCCATTTTTGATAGAATCTCATGGATTCCAGGCTGGCCTCCAACTTGCTATGTAGCTGAGAATGACTTTGAACTTCTGATCTTATTTCTTATCTCAGCCTTCCAAGCACTGGGATTATAGGTGTGGACACCTTGTCTCATTTACCTTTTGAGTTTTCTATGCATAAATCTCAAGGGTGGCTTGGAATACCCATAAACAGAGGGGGAGGACACAGAGCCAGCATGCCACCATCCTGTGCTGCTCTGGAAAAGGTAGAGTCGACATGCAGCAGAATGGCCACTGAGAAACTGATTGCCTTTGGCTGCCACTGCTCCTGCTGTACCCAGCTCTGAAGTCTGTCCTGCCCTTGGCCCTGAAAGTGACTCTAAAACAGAACCAGACATGTGGCCAGTGGATTAAAAGAGCTGCTGGGGAGCCTTTGGGGTGTTCCCCTCAACATGCTGTGCCCACCCCGCCTTGCTTTTCTGGAGCATCCACTTAATTGAGTCTATTGCCCTGTGTCCTCCAGGTCACTGGGACACCGGGAAGCATCAAACAGGTTGAAGGAGGCTCTGTGTTCTTCCAGGGGAACATAGCCCTTTGCACCCAGATTGTAATACAATCCTTCCTCTCTAGGGCTGCGAATGCTACAGCGAAAAACTGTTTGAAAACCTCTTTTATCATTCATCGTCTCCAGACTGAAATTGTTTTTGACAACCTCTGCAGAAAACAAGCAGTGTTCTGGCTACTGGCGAGTCGGGAAAAGGGAGGAAACACATGTTCACTGTCAGCCGGAGCCCCGGAGAAGGCCCCGACAACCTTTTAACCCCCTTTCCCAGAGAAAGGACCCAAATGTTTTTTTGGAACAAAGTCACCATGTTGTCTTTAAGCATCTTTCTCATTTAATGTGTTTTGTTTTCCCCAGGACAGCAGCCTTAAAATAACAATCCTCAGCCCTCTGTTTGTATTGTGGGTAGTAGCAGATCTGTGTCGCGTCCTACCAGGGAGGACAAGAAGAAGGCGACTGCTCGTGGCCGTCGTTTATGAACTAAACTGTCTTTTCATTTCTTTTTTTGACCGTCTGACCACAGTTTAAATACCAACACACAGAGGAGTTCACTCACCTCATAGAGCGATTTCTCAAAACCAGCCAAGAAGCTGCAGGAGTGAAATTTTCTGAACAGTAGGAAGGCTGCCTAGCCGACATCCTTAGCATGCTGGGCACTGAGGCAGCTGTGGAAATGGTTGTGAACTTCAAGGTCTGGAGCCAGAAATGCCTGGGTATCGCTTAAGGCACAGGTTACCAAGCAGAACTATTTCTGTACTTCCTAGTTCTATATAGAACTATTTCTATAGCAACCGGGCTGGGAGATGGGGGAGGGGTGTCTGTACTAACAGAAACTGTTAGTGTGTGTTGCTTTAACAAAAAAAAAAAGATTGTTTTAAAACACCAATACTGTAATCACAATGCTGAAAACCCAGCTCTCCGCTCCTTAGTCTGCAGCCTTGGTGCTCTTTCTCCGTCCTGCAGGCTCCGGTGGTTTGGATGACTAGGAGAAAATGAACCCCTGTGTCTCTCCCATTTTCAAGACGGCATTTATGCTTTCATACCCAAAGGGCAGGCTAATGTAAAGGGGGGATGCTGACTCAGAGAGGAAGTCCTGTGGGGACTTCCCCTGGCACTGGAGAGGTACGAAGGGAAGACCAGAGAGAGACTGCTCGCCTATGTGAGCTGAGGTTTGAGTCCTTGTCTCCTTCTTATTCTACCATTGACTGCTGCCTTTCTCTCATTCCCCCCTTTTGTTTGATGTCTCTCTCTAATTACTTTTCAAATTGATTCTAAATTAATTAGGTTTTATTGAAGCAAAACTTGCCTAACATGAACTATTTTGTGTGGTGCTAGGAATCAAACCCAGGACTTCATGCATGCTAAGCACTCCACCTCTGAGCTAGCTGTAGGCCCGGTGACCACTCTTTCTTTGCTCTGTTGGTTGGTTTTGCTTGGCAGTGTTCTGATCCTCCTGCATCAGCCTGCTGAGCACTGGAATTATAGGTATGCACCACCATCAACTGCTGGAATTACTAATTTTAAAGTGAATGATTAAAACACAAATAGCTTGGTCTCAGTATTGTGCAACCACAATGTGTATCTTATTCCAAAACATTTTTCATGACTCTAGAGGAAAACTTTACACCCCAAAGCCGTGGATCACACTTCTCCTTCTCCACAGCCCCTGTGAAGATTAGCCCACTCTCTGCTCCTAAGGAGTCGTCCGTTTTGTAGTGACTTTGGTGGTTAGTAGAAGGAGAGTCATACCCCATTGCCTCTGAGACTCCCTCTGTAGCATTAAGCAGTGCTTCTCTCCCTTCAGTGGCTCACCCAATTCCATTGCATACAAGTGCCATCATTGGTCCATCCATTCACCCATCAGTGGATGTTCTTCCCCGAGACATCTGTGAGCATGTTTCTTTGAGCACCTATTACCAGTTCCCCGAGCAGAATTGCCGAGTCATGTGATGGTTCTCTGTTTTACTTTTTGAAGAGTGGCCAAACTTCCCCACAGTTTGTGACTGAACCATTTTACATTCCCAATATCAATGCATAGACGTTCCTATTTCTCTATAACCTCAGTAGCATTTGTTATTTTTCATGGGAAAAAATCATTCTAGTCATGTTAGTAGGTATGAAATTGCATCTCGCTGAGTTTTGATTTTCATTTCCCAACTGCCTAACGAGCTTCTCCTGAGCTGATTGCACAGTGTGGATGATTTTGGGGGAAATACCTTTTCAAGTCCTGTTATTGATTTAATTCTTTGCTGTTTTGTAGTTGAGTTGTAAGGGTTCCCATGCATCCTGGAGCCTGGACGCTTATCATACATGCGATTTTAAATTAGTTCCTTCCATGCTGCAGTTTGTATTTCCACCTTTCTGATAATGTCCTGTGATGGTCAAAACATTTTAGTTCTGACCCAGTCTGTTCTATGTGGATATTTTTGCTCCCACTTTTAGAATATAGCTGAGAATAAATTGCCAAATCCAAATTCATGAGGATTATTCATGTGTTTTTTTTCCAAGAGTTTTATAAATTTAGGTCTTACATTTATCTATGATCCTCTTGGAATTAAAATTTTTTTTCTGGGGCTGAAGAGATGGCTCAGCGGTTAAGAGCACCAACTGCTCTTCCAGAGGACCCGGGTTCGATTCCCAGCACCCACATGGCAGCTCACAACTGTCTGCAACTCCTGTTCCAGGGGATCTGACACCCTCAAACCAATGCACATAAAATAAAATTAAATAAATTATTAAAAAATTTCTTTTTCTTCCCATGCTCTAAGGTAGACTCCAACTTCTTTCTGTTGCATGTGGTGATGTCACTGCCCCAGCAACCTTCGATGGACATTCCATCATTTCCCTTAGTGAATGGCAACCTTGTTGAATATCAACTGGCCATAGATACATAGACTCTGTGTATCTAGCCCATGTGTCTGTCCCATTACCAGACTTAATAAAACCACAGTAGCGTTTGTATTGTTTTAAATCGGGAAGGGCGAGTCTTTCAACTTCCCACCAGCTTTCTTGATGAGCTTCTGTGATTCAGACCCAGATTCCACTAGCTCTATTTCCCAGCTTTATGCCCTCACCCTCTGTTCATACGCTTTTTCTGGGAGTTGAACCCAGGTCTTTATGCATGGTATCTAGGCTCTCTACCGCTCAGATATGTCCTCAGGCCTTGCTTTACTTTCTATTTTAAGATAAGGCCTCATTAAAATTCCCAGGTGAGTCTTGAACTCACTTTGTAGCCTAGGCTAACTTTGAACTTGTACCCCTCCTGCCTCAGCCTCTTGGCATAATTATCCTCATCCCACGGACAACAAAGGCTCAGATGTTCTGAGAGCTGCCCAGGAAAGAAGAGGTAATATTCCCCAGAACCCTTTTCTTTAACGTAAGTAACACATGCTCACTGTAGAAAATATGGAAAACGAGGAACAATTACAAAAGCAGAAATAAGAATCAACAGTAATTTCACTTTTCATGAATAGACAAATGGTCTCTTTCGACCATTTTGCTTGCTTTCAGCTCCAAAACGTCTAGGCAGTAGCAGGCTGCTGTGTGTCTTGGCGTCGCTGTCCTGTCTATGAGTTTTGTATTGGTTCTGTTCTTTTCAGTCCTGTTATTTTCTGTTCCCTTTTCTTCTTCTGTCTGCACGTCCTCCCCTCATTCTCAGGCATCCTTCTCTTTCTGTTACCCTTTAAAGTGGAAGCAGAAAGAAATGAAAAGAGGGCTCCCAGTGGGTGGCAGGACAGACATTTGGCTTCTCCCAGACTCCCTTCTTCAGATCCCCTCCCACCCTGGTGAGAGCTCTCCCCCTCCTCCTCCTCCTCCTCCTCCCTAGCTGGCCTATTGATGGAGGACATGGAGCCTGTACAAGATGAACTGACAGTTCTGTGCATGCGTGTTTACGAGCAACAGACGGTGGGAGTAAACACGGCCAAACCATCTTTCATCCATAACACATATTATTGATTTTTCTCTAATTAAAACAGTCACAACAGACATTGTTGTCATACCCATGTTTCTCCTCTTTTATAGTTTAAATAGAAACCAGCTTGCCTGGTGAGCACCCAGCCATGCAGCTTCTTTTATCCCCCGCCCCCTTCTCTCTTCCTCTTAGTAGAGGGGCTTCTCTTCACAAGGGATCTTTGGGGTCTTTAGCACGTTGGGGATGTGACGATCTCCACTCTTGTCAGTGTCTATTACGTCTTCAGTCTGTCGGTCCTCTCAGGAAAGCAAAGGGTGAATTGTGTACCCGGGCACCCGACCCCCTCCCAATCGCACAGCGGAGAGCTGGGGGCATCTGTTTCTGTGATTCCTCCTTTGTTGACTGTCGTTCTTGTTAACAGCTGGCCTTATGATCTGGGATATTTCTTCATCAGGGAGACCACAGGCTTTTCTCTGCCATGCTCCTGTCCTCCGGTGGCCCACAGAGTTCCAGGGCAGTGGGAGAGGGCTGCAAGTTTTGGAAACAGCTCCACTCTTAGGGAAGCAGTGTTGCAGTTAGCTCCTGGCTTCCTTGGAAAACAAATGTCGGTGAGTGAAGGAATCGGGGGAACATCTTACCTTGATCCTCATCTGAGGCTGGAAGCAGAGGGCACTGGGTGTTCCGAGGCTGGATCCCAATGACAAACGTGTCAAAAGGAATCTTGTTTCCTTCCTGATGCCCAAGTAAATGAGATTACGACTTCGTGTGTGTGTGTGTGTGTGTGTGTGTGTGTGTGTGTAGAGGGTGAGGGGGGGTGTTGGAAGCACAGAGAACACAGCAGGCCCAGGGCCCAGGCTCCCTGCCACTGCCTAGCTTTGCGGCCTTAGATGAACACTCTGGTTTTCTGTGTTATCTTCCATAACAAGAAAAGATGGTACACACGAGCAGTTCCGGAGTTGTGTGAAGTCCCTTGCAAATGGTGGAAAGTAAGTGAGGAGGTCAGAGGCCTTGGATTCAATCATCCTATAATTTGCAAACAGTGTGTGTCATTTCTAGGTTCTGAGCATACATTAACAACAGGAAACAAAAATTTGAAAGTTTAAGAAGTTTAGATCTTATCAAGAAGTCAAACAACAGTCATATACATACATACACACACATGCATATGTACAATGTACATACATGTGTGAGTTGTGTCTGTGTGTGTCATGTGTCTGTGTTTGTATACTCACATCCATCAGGAAGGAATTAAGTAATATGAAGAAAAGCAAGAACTGTTTGTCAAGTTAGATGGTCCTAAGGAGTAAGCATTTGGAACCATCTTTGAGACATGTAGAGATCAGAACAAATGACAGCGTCACCTGTTTCCACACTCATCACACAACAGACATTTGTAAATCAAAGACAGCGTTGAGAACAGATGTGTGACATGTATAGATCTCAGACAGGATGGTGTATATGCGACTAGAAAGGAGAAGCAGAGCTGGCCCCACACAATCTCTCCATTTCTGCCATGTAACCAGCTGTGATTTTTCTGGGATGGTCCCCACTTGTTATAAAGAGGAGCTTCTTTGATGAGGAGTGGTAGTGTACTTACCTGTGGGTGTAAAGATCAGATTAAAAGTGTAGTTAGACATTATGCTGGTCTAGCGAAGCGGCTGTAGTAGATTCTCACCTAAGACCCATGACCTCACTACCCCTGAGAACTTGGCTGGATTTCCAGTACCAGGCACGACTGTCGTTCTGTTGTGTGGGACTTAA